ACACACACACACCCACCCACACACACACACACACACACACACACACACACGTCTCAGTATCACTTCTGTGGTTCACGTGATATATGACTGTACTGGTGTAGCTTGTATAAACACACACACACACACACACACACACTCACACACACACACACAGCCCTGCTGTCCATGTGTTCACTAATAAAGCTGTGGCAGGTGATATATGGCCGCAAAAAGCGATACGGACACACAACATGGTGGAGAGAGCAAAAGAGCAGTACTCACAAGTCTGGTCTCTCCGTCTCTGGCCCAGGCTCGTCCGTTCTGCACATATTTATTTAGACTCTGACGCTTCTTCTGGCCTCCGTCCGCAAACTTGCACAGCAAGGGTTCTGATGGGGCTGCAGACACACACATGAACTCTCTGCGTGATGTTGACTGCTCGCTCATAGACAGCAGAGCTGAGCGCTCCGACCAAAACCATCATAATGTGACAGTAGAAATGGCTTGAGATTTTGTTAAACCCCAGCAGAACTGCTTTATGTTATTTAGCGCATCAAACATGGAGGGAAAATACAGAGCAGGACGTGATGCAAGACATTTTAGCAACCTCTGAAACGACTTTCCTTTTGGATGACATCACAAATGCCTCTTATTTTTAGTCCCTCCCCCTCTCACTCAATTCTGGTACTGTATATAAAGCCCACTTTTCACAATCCGATCAATGCACAATATATCAGCACCATGTCAGGTGAATATGGCCATTGATTGATTTAATTTGTTTCTGTGTATTCAAGATTTAAGATTCATTATCTAGCAAAGATTTAACCCTTTAAGAGCAAAATCTTTTGAATATTTTATTGTAATATGTCGTGCTCTTAAAAGGAATGTGCTTTAGTTAGTTATTCCGACCCATAAGAAAAAAATCATGCTTTGGCAAATCATAATTATGAGATTAAAAAGCCATAATTAGGAGATAATTTGTAATTATGACAAAATGTCTACATTTGGACTTTTTGTCATAATTATGACGTTTTGGCAATTTTGACTTTTTATCTCTGAACAATAACTAAGAATGTCATAATTCTCATAATTATGACTGTCATAATTTTGACATTTTATCTCATAATTTTTACTTTTTATGTCCTAATTATGAATTCTGAAAATTAGGATTTTTTTCTTGTGTGGTAGAAACTTCAAAATTATTTTATGTTATTTTTATTATGTTTTATTACGTTTTTTTGTAAACAAATTAAGACTTGCAATATCTCCCATTTATAGGTTTTCAGCCATAACATTTAATGTCATAATTTGGACTTTTTATCTCGTAATTATGACTTTATCTCATTTCAAATTTTGATGTCCAAAGTATGTCTTAATTTTTTTTTTAAATATGTGGTGGAAACGTCCAAATAATAATTATTTTTATAATGTTTTATTAAGTTATGTTTATATTAAGTTATGTCTTTTTTAACAAATCCAGATATATTTACAATATCTTCCGTTTATTGGTTATCAGCCATAACATTGTGACTTTTTGACAGAATTATGACTTTCTATCTCATAATTATGTCTTTTTATTTCATAACCGTAACTTTTTATGTCATAATTATGACTTATTAAAGTAATTTTTTCTTATGTGGCGGAAATGGTTTTTCATAATTTTAAGTTAGTTTTATTGTGTTTTATTAAGTTATGTTTTCTGTGTCTTTTTCAAGATAGAGTTGCAATATCTTCTAATTACTGGCTTTCGGCCATAACATCTAAATAATTACAGCATCAGCCACAGTTTCAGTATTGGAGCATCCCTAATTTCTGTTGCATAAAACCCAGTATTTTTCCACACTGAATATCAATGTTGCATGAAAAAACACATCTAATTATGGGGTGAAATGGGATGCACACATTGACTTTAATGCTGCAAATTGCGATGCTGCTTTGCTGCTAGATGAGCAAACTTGTTCTGTTATATATTTTCTTTGTTGCACACGTAAATGTAAGTGTGACTCTTTCTGCCACAGCATAAACGGCCCAGCAAAATCTCCACCAGTTATATGCCGTCATCTCAAGACCCTCTGAGGCTATCTGGCTCCATCCGCAATGACTTGGAGAACAGGCATCTAATTTGTACACTGTCTTCGTATAATCCCCTTCCTTCCTTTCTGACACGGTCAGTGGAGACTATTTCAGTCTAATAATCCAATTAAAATGCTTAGAGAGGCCACGCCAGGCCAGTAAGAGAAAATTAGCACACATTGCTTTCACTTGAGCCCCAAACGAGCCTCCACTAATCAATAAGCTGATTCATACCCATGTAGCTCCTCCCAGCTCTGTAATTTCAGCATTTCGTGCAGCGAGTCTAAATCTACATTCGTGCGAAAGCCGTTTGGTATGGCTGAACGGTTGCGCCACATGCCCGAAAGCCTGTTTCCATTTAGACCCCATCCGAGGGGAATCATTACCAGAGAATGAATGAATGTGCTCGCACACAGCAGCGTTGTGTCTTTATGCTCAAACAAAACACATATTAAAGGAGTAGTTCACCCAAAAATGACAATTCAATCATTTACTCCTATTGCATGGAGAAAAGTGGCAAGGATATCCTTCAGAAATGTACCCTCTCCTTTTATGGAAGAAAGAAAGTCATACAGGTTTGGAAACAACATAAGGGCGAGTATTTTCATTTTTTTTCATGAACTATTGCATTAAAGTAGACGTGAAGCAGGCAGACGCACACTTACCCAGAACACCAGCTGGGGTTTTGAGAAATTTCCCGTTGAAGTGAGAGATGACCGCTTCACATTTCTCCGTCGACTCCATCCTAGAGAAACAGATTACCGGTTTAAAGGTTTACAAATTTCATTCTCGGTTTGAGTATAAAACATCATTCCCATCACCTGCACCAGCTGTCAATGTTGAGTAACATTAAAGTCATATGAAGAATAGCTAGGCGATTTTGCATTACATAAAGCATAATGCACTCATTTTAATGCATTTCATTAAGGCCAGTCAAATAGTTTCATGATCCTTATTTTTCTTTTCCTGACAAAGACATTTTATTTATCTCTCATTTAAACTTCAGTTAGAGTTGGTAAGTTTGATTCATTTCAGTGAATCACTTCTACCTGTTCATTTTAGTGAATCGGTTCAAAACTCTGATTCAATGATTAATGCGGGCACTCAGAAATGTCTCTGCATGGCATTTTTATGCATTAAAATGTTTAGCAAAAATATATGTAGTTAAACATTGCTGTTAATTTTCATATTTTGTTATATCCGTGCGTATAAATCTTGCTTCAGTTCATTTACAGAGGAAAACATGTTTGGATAATTTAACTGCAAACAAATACATTGTAATAAATTTCAGAATAAATACAGAGATTTGAACTGAATATCATCAAAAAGGGGGTGCAAAACTGAAATTATCATAAATGTTTAGATATGCCGAGCTAGGCAATACACTTTGCCATTATACTTTGTGTTTATTATTAAAAACAATTTTCATTATTTATGTTTATATTGTTGTTATTTGAAAAATGACTTCTCGAAACATATTCATCTGATTATACAGGAATAACCCTCGGGTTAGTACAGTCAAGTAATCAAAAGAGGGTAAAAAATTGACATTTTAGTGAATGTTTAGATTGCAGAGCTATGAAAATCATAAGTTTTGCCAATGCATTCTGTGTTTATCATTAAAAGCAGTTTTCATTGTTTATATTTCTATCATTGTAATTTGAAAATGTACTTCTCGAAACATATTTATCTGATTAAATGAACTAGTTAAAAAAGATTTTTCTGTTGTCTTACATGTTTTCTCAATAAAGACATGTTTAAAAAAAATGAACTAGTTTAGTTTTATTTAAGGGGTTTTTCACTCAAATTTGCAGGAATAACCCTTAGGTTAATACAATCAAGTCATCAAAAGAGAGTAGAAATTGACATTTTCATGAAAGTTTAGATATGCAGAGCTATGAAAATCATAACGACAAGTTTTGCCAATGCGCTCTGTTTATCATTAAAAACAGTTTTCATTATTTATTCTGTTATTTGAAAATGCATCATTAATTTATCAGTTTATCATGAAAATCTCTTTTCGCTTTTTATATTTATGTCATTGACATTTGAAAACGTACTTCTCCAAACACATACAGTTCAGATTTCTTTCAGTTCAGCGTTTTTTCACTCAAGTGCGTGAGAATAACCCTTAGGTTAGTACAATCAAGTTTTTACTTGTCATAAATTTACAAAGAGAGGTTCAGAGAGTTCAGTTTCCTGGCTTTGCCGTGCTGATATGTCAGATACACAGCTATGTTTTCAAGGAGCTGACTGGCACTAAGAATCATGGGAGGGTCTGAAGTGTTTGTGTTGCGGCGGGCACAACGCCAGGGGCTTTCCAGGACGCCTGATTCCCTGACGGACGCTGCAGTCTTCAACCACGGTTGGTACATTGAGGGGAATTCACAAAGAATGATAGTGTGACAACAGGAGCTGATCTGGTGATTCGGGGTCAGATACTAGACACTCACCTCGCAAATCCGACCCCTCGGCTGGCCCCGTTGGTGTCTCGCAGGACGCGTGTGGAGACGACCTGTCCGAAGGGCTTCAGCATGGCCTCTAACTCCTGTTCATCCATGGTCAGCGGTAGGTTAGATATGTACAGGTTAGTGGGGTCCTGCTCTTGTTGCTGTCGGGAGAGAAAAAGAAACAAAAACGAAACGTAAAACGTGAACTTTTTGCCATTTTCCTGGTGAAAAAGTCACTGATCGATAGCATCACAATGAGCTTAACTCGTACTGAACCTGGAACATTTGTGTAATTGTGTAATTATTTTTAGCACAGGTAGGTTACACACCTGTAAAAACACCTCAGATCTTATCGTTCAGTTCCTTCACACACTGCCAGAGTTTTGTCACAGTTATTATGTCACACACTTTTATCAGTTAACGGAAGAAAGAACACCTGGAGATCTGACAACAGAAATCACTGACCATCCACACCTGCAGGTCAACAACCGGCCCGTTTCAAAACCTAGTGAGCTGCATGCATGGATGCCTTCTTACATGTCCCAGCAAATACATAGTATAATTACATAATATAATCACAGCCAATCAGAACCCTGTGCACCATGGGACAAACAGAATCCAAGCAACCAATAAAATGTCCTGAATAGGCAATCTAGGCATTTGTTAATTAGACTAAATTTATATACATATATACATACTTAATTTTTAAACATATATATGCTTCATATCTTGGGGAATTGAGTATACTAATATAATCAGCATATCAGCATAATAAGAACAAATATTAATCATATACATAAATACTTAATATTTGCTTTTAGTATTTAATATAGACCTAATATAATATATAATATATTTAATACAATTAAATATTTAATATTATTATATTACTATATGTAACATTTTTTATTATATATCTGCAAAATACAGACCTAAATGTACACACACACACACACAACACACACACATAGATATGTTTTGTCTAATATACACAAAAAATATTAAAATATAAACAAAAATATAAACACAAAATATTAAATATTATATATTATATAATATAATAACAGTATTTTATCTTTCTGGAACTTTCACTAATTTTGCCTAATTCATTATAGACCAGTAAATATTACATATACGCACACACACACAAAATATGAAATATTATATCATATATTAACAGTATTTTACATTTGGGAAACTTTTTCATTAATTTTGTCTAATGCATTATGGGATTGCAATCTCTGCAAATGATACCTTCAACGCTGCCTACCTTTTAGAACAGGCTTTGTGTCAATGCCTTAAAATGCTGTCTAGGTAGGCAGCTCACTAGGTTTTAGTAGAACTGCGAATGAAGACAATATCTAAATACTTACATGGTACAGGTGAATTAAATTCATAAACTAGGTTAAAGTGAAAGCATGTCTCCCTCTCCGGACTCTCCAGCTAATAAAGGGTGAGCATTAATATTGATGAGCGGCTCATTTGCATGCGGCTCTCGGCCACCCTCCATCCCAGCAGTGAAACCTCGACTGATTTTCCCTTCCATCAGCAGAAACGGAAAGCGAAACAGGCAGAGAGCGAGCGAGAGACTCCGGGGACAAAAGGGCCGCTACATTAATATTCATTAACATCCTACTGCGTTCAATCTCCACCCCTAAGAGATGGAGGGAAAATGAGCAGAACAAAGAGGAGACAAGGGAGAGGCGGGATTTGATTACTAAAGTAATATGCTGACAGAAAAAAATCAGCATAGCGCCATTAGGGAACAATGGCAGAGGGCCGGCGCTCAGCTGTCGAACCATCACGGGGAACGGACGCAAGGGCAAACAGGCGCTGGAGATCCTAGAGAGTCGTCAAACACGATGTTTAAAAAAATATTAGCTATTAGGGATGACAGTGTCCATAACTAAACACTGAAGGACGGATGCTGAAGCTAATAGCGGGTGTTTTATGGGCCTGTTTTTGAATGGCAAATAAATTCACGATGTGCTTGGCTTGCTCCAGAGGGAGAACTAAAACGCTGGCGTGGTTTTAAACAGACTTATCCCGACCGAAACCTAATACCAGAGCCACATACCAGTGCTAGCCCTGCTCATCAGGCTCGAGTTACAGCAGCCATACGCAAACTCTGGAAGCAAAATAGCATGGATTAAAATGTACTACCTGACTAAAATATGCAAAATTGAATTTAAAAAATGCATTTAATGCAGGGATGCATTCAACTATTCAAAAGTGACAGTAAAGACATTTACTTTGTTACAAAAAAAATCGATTTCATATAAATGCTGCTCTTATGAACTTTCAATACATCAAATAAAAATATTCCACGGTTTTCACAAAAATATGAAGCAGCACAACTGTTTTCAACACTGATATTAATCAGAAATGTTTCTTGAGCACGAAATCAGCATATTAGAATGATTTCTGAAGGATCGTGTGACCCTGAAGACTGGAGTAATGATGCTGAAAATTCAGCTTTGATCACAGGAATAAATTACATTTTATAATATATTCAAACAGAAAACAGTTATTTTTAATATTTCACAATATTTTACTGTATTTTTGATCAAATAAATGCAGCCTGGGTGAGCAGAAGAGATTTGTCGTACCAACCAAATATATATAACACATAAATATATTAATATATATTAATATTAAATATATAATATTTGGATAAATAAATTCAAATATAAAGTATATGTGTGTTTTTTTAGACAAATATAAATTGACTATTAATTTCTTCATAAATCTTACATTTTTGCTACATAAAAATAAACTGGATTAGCTGCAGTGTTTTTTTAGTATCATTGATATATTATTATAGTTAATATTTTTATAAATTAGATTTTTTTTGTACATTTTCTGTTTTCACTTTAATATGAGTAAAAGTCTAGTATATATATCTATTAGTTATTTCTATACTATTCTATACTATCTTTTAGTTATTTTAGTACTTCAAGTTAAACTAAATGAAAATTAGAAATATTGCCCAGG